CGTTCGTTTCTCTCTCTCTCTCTCTCTCTCTCTCTCTTTTTTTTAAATCTCGTTACGCGAAATGACGATTAAAAAAAAAATAAATAAAATTTCTCCCCCTCCCTCCGAATCGACTTTTATCGAGAATTTAAAACGAGTATACACACGTTATATGTATATTCGCGACTGGGCATAAATATGACCCATATTTTCTGCTTTTTACGGAAAATCGTAGCCCGATGGCTTTTTAACGGTTTGTTATATAAACATCGTTATATAACGTTTCTCCTCGATTTTATTTCCACCGATTTTATACCCGCGAAACAATAACGCAAACGGGAATTATTTTTCGCGCGACAATTAACCGTGCGCGGCTCCCTACCTCGTATTCCCCCCCCCCCCTCCCTCGAATCCCCCGTAATCGCTGTGTGATCGTAACGAAAGAGGGGAGAAAAAGTAAAAAAGAAAGGAGATGGGGGGGGGAGGGAGGGAGGGAAGGAGAAGAAAGATCGAAAGGAAAGGAAAGGAAAGGAAAGGAAAGCAAGAGAGAACATTTTCCAAGACTAATTGCATAAACTGCGCGAACAGCGTCCTCTGGAACAAACTACTTTCGTTCATTCCAGGCGACACGGCGTATATTCTCGGGCCACGCATTATCGTATTTTTCACGTAACGCGTTCACACGGCGCGGCCACGCCAATTCGGATTTGCATAACGTATGAATAATGCATACGCCTCTAACAGTAACAAACGCCTCGAATTACCGCAACGCTCGAATAGACAAGATAAATAATTGTACTAATAATAATTAATCTTCCTTTTTACGGATTTCCAATGTTTCGATGTATGTATATATATATTCTGCCATTTCTTCCGATTTATTTTTCGCGATTATTGAAATGGAATAGTAACAATAACGATGATAATAATAAAGAAGAGGAGTCTTGTTTGTTTTTTTAAATGTAAGAAATTTATGATGTTAAGTTAGATATTAGAAGATGAGACGACGATTCTTCGTTAATTAACGATACCTGATGATGGTGGAAGCGTCAAAATCGTGGGTAATTGTTGGTCGGTATGGCTCAAAGGGGTGGCAATTAATTAAACAAACGCATCTTTTCTCGATACGAATCGAACTCGTGACCGTACCAACCCTGTCAAGCCACCACCTCGTTTCAATTAACGCAAATGAGTTAGTTTCGTGATTCGATTAGTCGAGTGGCCGAGTTCGTGCCGCTTCTTTGAGAATGCGTAGGCACCAACTCGAAACTCGGTCGCGGCGACGAGAATGCCGAGTTCGAACCGAATCTTCCAGTGTCGATCGCGTTTCGAACGGGCGAGTATATATCGAGAATTTAATTCTCCCCAATTTCTCTTAAAAATTCCCCGATTATTTTATTCCTCCGTTTAAATTATTCGCATCGAATTTCCACTTTTAATTTCAACATTTTTCTCCCTTTTTCAAAAACTCTTCGAATTCGAGTAGATGGTATTATACGCTTGCCCATTTTATCGTCGCGCACGTGTTTCGTCGCGTAATCGAAATCCGCTGCGATCCCTCCGTTGAAGGTTCGAGTATCGAGGACGTGTTCCGCGAAATTCCTGCGGATTTCTTGTGGCGTCGTGCGAGAAATTAGACGCCCATTCGCGTGATACCGTTACGTGACGGTACATCGCGTCCCAATCTCCACCCTTGTCTTCGGTAATTTCGTTAACGCGACGAAAATTTGGATTATATCCAGACGGTGGGGACACTCGATCCGTTCCACCAATTTTCCACATATCAATTTATCAATATCTCGGCGAATACCATGGCGAAATAATAATTTCGTTCCGCGTATTTAAGGCAATTAAATTTGCCGCGTTAAAATGTTGCATTATCGACCGAGCACCTTTCGATTTCACAAATTTCGAGCGAGATTTATCGATACCGGTTGGAAAATCACGGATAGATCGGTGTTGTGCTCCGTTTTTGGGATAACGAAAGAGAGGAAGCTGAATATCGGGGGCAGAAAGAAGTTATAACGACAGGGAATTCTATTTAACACGGGAATCGCGATGTAAATCGTCGGCCACTAAATTTTCCGCGTATTTATTAGCCATTCGCCGATGCGTAATGTGCCAGAACCGGGCTATTTATAAGGTAGCTATTTATCCGGCCGAGCCATTCAATTTTCGTCTTCCTCGTTCTTTTCAAACGTTGAATTTTATACACCTAGGCGGCTCATTTCCGACGCCATATCGGGGATTCGGTTAATTATCGCCTCCTTTGAAATTCCTCGAAACTTTCTCGTTCTTAATCGATGCTTCCTATATAAATATATCTATTAAAATAATACAAAATAAACTTTTTTCTTTGCCAAAAGAGAATCGTTTTCTTATAATCGTTAAATAGATTATCATCTTCCGTGATGACTATTTTTATAGCGAAAAAAATCCCCTTCCCCCCTGACATCTATAAATGGGAGAAAGCATAATTTATGTCCTTCGCCGTGTACGAGAGCCGAGCTCTATTCCGTGTTCTTTCGCGTCTCCACCTTTCTGAAATTCGAAAATCGGCTCGCGAGGGATGGATGGATAGCTCGCGGCTAAAAATTCGAAATTTCCACGAAATTTCGGAGAGACAAAAGATAACAGTTAACGTGGCGTGGTGTGGTGTCGTTCGAAACGATATCATCGAGGTTTTCGAGGCGGGACGAAAAATTTGAACGGCCCTCGGAAACGAGGAGACGACGGAGGCGGCCGGTGGTAATATTGATTTCGTATTAACGAACGCCGATACACGGACGACTGGCTGACCCTCGACGAATATCATCCCTCCTCCTCTCGCTCGCGTTTCGAAATCAATTTACTACGTTTGCGGCATTACCTTCGTTCGATCCGAACGAAGGAAAAAAGGAAGGGAGTAGCCGCCATCGCGGGATCCTTCGCCGCGACTTCTATTAGCGTGCAATTTTAACTCTCTCGGCATTCGTTTCGTATCGAAGTAATTCAACAACGTGGTGTGTCGTCACTTTTTAAAGGAGCGGAACACACACCTTTCCTTGGAATTCTCGGAATAAATTTACGCGTGAAATTATCTCTTAACGAACGAAGATTGAAACGTAGTTTCGAGAATTTTCCCTTATTTTTTTCCTTCCGTCCAAATGTATCAAGATACGCGTGTTGTTCGTGTTGTCCGTAATCAGCGGCCATCTTCCCTTCGAAACGCAACGTCGGCGTGGCGTGTTCCCTTCCACGTTCACGAGTTCGTTCCCCGATATCGTTTCGATATTACAGATCCAACTTTCTCTCTCTCTCTCTCTCTCTCCTCCCCTCCCCCGGAACGGGAACTTGGTCTGTTTGCGCCACCAAACTTCTGGAACACGGGGAAATTAAACATTTACCCTCGGTCGCATATGCCGCGCCGTTCCATCGCGTATAAATATTTATCAGGAGTAGTTTCGCTTGTAATCCCCCGCGAAATGGATGCTACGTGAATATGAATGGCGATAATCGTGCGCGCACTATTGTATACCTTGTTGCACGTAAACAGCACGTCTGTTTCATTCATTGATATCCAGCATGGGAAATCAATACGTTAAACCTGTTCAAATCGAAGGATCGTTGTGTGCGTTGCAACATATTGTTTGTCGGTGTATTCGCGTGCACCTTTAATATTCGTTTCAACCATTTTCCATAAATAATATATACCACGTTTGATCGAGAAACCAGAGAACTCTTCGTTTACGTTGATCTTTGCGTATTCAAAATTGAATTCTTTAAATCCAGGTAAGGGATAATCGTTAAGCCGTTCTGCTTCTGAGATTTGAAGGAATTTTAAAGAATCGCGTAGACGATGATCGTAATGATTTGTGTTTCGAAAGTTGGAGGAGGAGGAAGAGGAAGGGAAAGAAGGGGGAATCAATCGAAGAAATATGAAACGGTGGCGCGTAAAACGAACGACTGGAAAACTGTTCGGTTAACAGATGCAAACGTGACGGGGAGCGACTTCGTAATGGGCGCGTGTTTGCATTTTAATTGGTCGAGGGTCGGAGGCGATACAGGAGGACCGCGTAGAAGACGGCTCGACGATGCTGGAAATTATTAATGGGGGAAACGTATTTCTCTGTTTCAGGTGTGATGGGGCCTCGTGGAGTCGGCTTTTACTATGAGTTGAGGTCCTGTAATTAATCGTGAGTATCCTTATCTTCTCGTAATCCTTCCTGTGTTTCGTATTCGATTCGTTTTTTTTTTTTTTTTTTTTTTTAAATCGATCACCTCTAACTCTAGCTCGTTCAATTTCAACGATCCTCTCGAGTGGCTCGATCGAGGTGCGCGGTTCTCGAGGATCTCGAATGAAAATTGCCATCGATCTTCAAAGTAATAGAGACTTTTACCTTCCAATGGAATTATTCCCATCTTGTTAATAAGGAATTTCAATTTTCCTCGAGCAAACGTTTATTTACGTGGTATATATGCATATATATATATATATAAAATACACGCTCGCCGAGATCGAACGAAAGGTAATTTACGCAATGATCGAAGCGTTTAGCTTAGAGAGTCAAGGTCCACCATGTTCCATGCGGTGATCCAAGTTCAGGGGGATCGTGAACGTCCAATCGAGCGAACCTTTCTCCTCGCCCTTGAATTATGCCGCATAATAGTATCGAACCGCGTAATTATCGGTTCGAGAAATCGGCATTGTTCCTCCTGTTGGCGTCTTCATTTCCTCTTTCTCTCTCTCTCTCTCTCTCTCTCTCGTTTCCTCGATAAAAATAGCAGGATACGAAATTAAAAAATTCAAATCGCCCCGTTACCGCTTAAGCCGAAACGTATTTGTAAAATTAAAAATTTGGGACGGGACGCGCGTTCCTGGAATGTCTCGTTCCAAGATTTTTCACGGCAAAGCGAAAAAAAGAAAAAGAAAAAAAAAGCCGAATCATTGTCACCGCATCCCCCTCCTCTGTACATTTCAGACGAGAGAGAAACCCTCCTCTCGTTTAAATCGATCACCTCTAACTCTAGCTCGTTCAATTTCAACGATCCTCTCGAGTGGCTCGATCGAGGTGCGCGGTTCTCGAGGATCTCGAATGAAAATTGCCATCGATCTTCAAAGTAATAGAGACTTTTACCTTCCAATGGAATTATTCCCATCTTGTTAATAAGGAATTTCAATTTTCCTCGAGCAAACGTTTATTTACGTGGTATATATGCATATATATATATATATAAAATACACGCTCGCCGAGATCGAACGAAAGGTAATTTACGCAATGATCGAAGCGTTTAGCTTAGAGAGTCAAGGTCCACCATGTTCCATGCGGTGATCCAAGTTCAGGGGGATCGTGAACGTCCAATCGAGCGAACCTTTCTCCTCGCCCTTGAATTATGCCGCATAATAGTATCGAACCGCGTAATTATCGGTTCGAGAAATCGGCATTGTTCCTCCTGTTGGCGTCTTCATTTCCTCTTCTCTCTCTCTCTCTCTCTCTCTCTCGTTTCCTCGATAAAAATAGCAGGATACGAATTAAAAAATTCAAATCGCCCCGTTACCGCTTAAGCCGAAACGTATTTGTAAAATTAAAAATTTGGGACGGGACGCGCGTTCCTGGAATGTCTCGTTCCAAGATTTTTCACGGCAAAGCGAAAAAAAGAAAAAGAAAAAAAAAGCCGAATCATTGTCACCGCATCCCCCTCCTCTGTACATTTCAGACGAGAGAGAAACCCTCCTCTCGTCTCGTCTCGTCTCGCCGAGCCAAATCCAAACCTTGTTTCGCCTACGGAACGAGCGTATCTGGTCCGCTGCTGGCGCACGCACGATCGCTCATAATCGCAGGTAACTACCACACATAGAAACAGAGAAACGGAGAGGGAGAGAGAGAGAGAGAGAGATATCGTGGTCTCGCACAGGGCAGAAGCAAACGGCTGCTCTCCACGGAACCGGATCGCGCGGGTGTGCGTTGTACGCGATGCACAGAGAGAGAGAGAGAGAGAGAGAGGCGAGTGGAAGCGTAGGAAAGTCCCTGTTAGCGACGCTCTATAGCATCCATATAACCGTCGTATTCGTGGCAGTTAGGGGTGCACGCGGAGCGAGAGAAGGAGAAAGATGGATAGAGGGAGAGGACGTGGTAAACGGACGGAGAAGGCGCGATAGGGAACGGGCGAGAGAGATGGAGATGGAGAGAGAGAGAGAGACGGAGCAAGATATAGATAGAGCGCGAAAACGATGGAGCAACGGGTGGAGAGAGGGAGATAGAAGTCGAGGGATGGTTTTGCTCCGGTGGCTCTGTATTGATTGCTACTCCTCCTCCACTTCCACCGCCTCCTGCGACCACATCTCTCTCTCTCTCTCTCTCGCTCGCTCGCTCGCTCGTTCTCGCTTTCTCGCTCTCCGTTCGCCCGTGTGCTCTCCAAGCGTTGCCTGTATATTTCTCCTTCTACGCGTACCTGTCTCTCTTTTTTTTTCCTCCCTTTTTCCGCGCCCCCTCCCTCCCCGCCCTTCGTTCCATCTCCGTCACCCTCCGCCGCCTCTCCACGACTCTCCATCTCCGTCCTCCTCCTCCTCCTCCGCTGTCGCCCCTCCGCCCGCCCGTTCTCGCCGGCCCTCTCCTATCTCGGACCCGCACACCAACGCACCTCGTAACCGTCGCCTCTGCAAAGCGAAACCATCAAGATCCCGAGGTCCTCTCCTTGCCACGTATATATATATATATGTATATATATATATATATATATATCCTACCAAGTTTCTCCTCCCGCTTCTTCCAACCTTCTCCTCGTCCCGACGCGACTCGTTCTTCTTCTTCTTCTTCTTCTTCTTCTTCTCGTTCTCCTTCTTCTTCTATCTTCGTCTCTCGCCTCCCTCCTCTCCCCGGGGAGAGGAGAACCGGCCAAGTTCGCCTGTAATTGACGCAGATGCGATGGAGGATGGAGGGGGAAGGTGAGCGAGAGAGAGATAGCGGTGACAGCGGGTTCGACGACGGCGGAAGCGCAATTCTTTGCGCTCCGCGTGGAAATTGATCGAAGCGGAGCCGATGGCGGGTGTGGAGGGAGAGGAGAGCTGTGCCCGGCATCCATGGTGTGGTGTACGCGAGAGAGATGACTCGTTACACGGACGATAACGAGGAGAAGTTTTCTCTCGCGTTTTAACCGCTTTTTCTTCCCCCTGCGGAAGAAAATTCGTCGCGAATTCGCGTTCTTCGCCACGCGATTTTTCGAACGATTGGTTGAAGGGAGATGGTAGATTCGTTATGGATATATGTATAGCAGGTTCGAGTTATCTTCTTTTTCTTTTTCTTCTTCAGGCTTCTTTTTCACGAAATCTAACAAGAATTTAAGAGCAGATTTGTTTCTATTCCATTTTCGAATCAACGTATTATGCGTTACGGTTATGTGTATACGTACCATGAATTTCGCGATCGAGGTGGATCGTAAATTAAGATTGTTTAACTCGTATTTTAAACGTACGTATAAATATAAATACCATTTGCAATACCATGTCGAACAACGCGCGTATATTAAATATATACAACGCGATCGTAAATTAAATCCTTTTAACAACAAAGGATTTCCAGAGAAATTGTCATTGCGTTTAATTGTTAAAGAAGGTCGAGTTTACCGAATCCTTGCAAGGATTCTAGAAAATTTCGACTCGTGATTCCCGATCCCGACGATGACCGACCACTATCGAAGGGTTAAACTCGTTGAACAAAGATTGGATAATCCCCCGGGTTGATCAGTGATCCATCGGGAAAACGATATCGTGTCAACAGGAGCGAACGGTGTTTTCTCTTTGCTCGATTTATCTTCTTCGATTTTTTTCCCCCTTTTCTTTGCATCGTATATGTATACGAATGAAACGGAGAATGAAATCTTTGTCGTTGAATCCATTATTCGTTACATTTTTCTTCTTTTTTTTTTTTCAGCAAGAAAAACGTTCTTCGATACTCGTTCGAAAATTAATTATTCATCGTCGAAAATTTCTTCATTGCCGCGATTCATCTTTCTGCCGTCACGAATTTTCGATAAAAGTTCAATTTCTATTTAAAATTTCGTCTATTTGAACCCGATTCGAGGCTAAGAATCGATTATTATTTTTTTTTTTCGTTAAATTCTATTACAAAATTTCATGCAAAATGAGTGTTTCTTGTATAATAGTCGAATGAATCTGTTTCAATACGATTTCACCATTTAATTCGATTCTTGGTTGGTATTTTTCGACTCTATCGAAGAAACTTACGAATGTTTGCATTTCTAAATTTTTGTTTAATATCTCTCCGATAGACAGCATCAATTTCAGTCATCGATCAAGTTCAGCTTATATTAATCTTCCAATATTTCTTATCGTATCGTCAAAGTAGCACGCGTAATTTAACGTCAACGACAATAATAATTTTTCGTTAATTTCTACTTTAAGAAAAAATTCTATATTCGAAATCTATTATTCTTCGAGAAACGGAATAATGACGAATACATAGATTTCCATTATACTTGGAATTTAACATTGCTGACAATTTTTCGTCGATTTTATTTTGGAAATAAATCAATTCTAAATTCGTCGAATTCGAAGTATCCTACGACAAATAGGTTTCGCTATACTTGGAACGAACGGAAGAATTCAAATCATTTCCAAGATGAAGAAGAAGCACCCGTAATCTAATTTATCGATGACAATTTTTCGTCCTGTTTCGGAAAAATTCCAAATTCGTCCAATTCGAAATTAATCCAATTCTTCAATCAACGACGACGAATTTCCGTTGTATTTAGAACAAACGAAGAATAAAAAATTCCAATCATTTTCAAGATTCTGAACAATGCGTAATTTAATTTATCGATGACGATTTTTCGTTAATTCCTATTGAAAAAAGAATCGATTCTTCGAGGAATGGAATAATTACGAACAGAGGTTTCCACTATTATATCTAGAATCTACCATTGAACGAAATTTTTCTCGTCTATTTCTATTTTAAAATAACATCGATTCTAAATTCGTCGAATTTCGAATCTGTAACTAACGACGAATAGATTACACTCGCGCTTGGAACGAACGAAGAACGGAAGAATTCAAATTATTTCGTGAAGAAATAAAGCAATAGCACGCGTAATTTAATTTATCGATGACGATTTTTCGTTAATTCCTACTGAAAAAATCAATTCTTCGAGGAATGGAATAACAACGAATACTATACTT